AGACTGTGTTCAGATAATGTTGGTAACGTTTTTGGAGGGAGAACGCTTAATGCCCGTTATTTTCAAAATTTACGCGCGTATGTAGTTCAATAAATTCAATCATCGTTTGTGGAAATCGCTCTTCAATGATGTAAGGGGACTTTTAAACATAAATGTCGATTTATTCGGAACGTAAGGTGTTAAAAACTTATTAAACATGAAGTTAATTAAAAATTATAAAACAATTTTTGTTGTAATCTTTCTGAAAATGATTGCAATAACCAATTTCGCATCATTTTAAAAAATTGCACACCGCTTTGATTAACCCCTTTTAAAAAATCACGGTTTCGCTTATTTTTAGGCGAGTTCGAAATCTACAGGTTGTCCTATTAATAAAGGTGATATCTATGGAACCGGCACAGCTTAGGCAGACTGATTTGGTCAACAAATGAGACATAGAAAAATCGCTGGAAATTATTCTCAAGTTTCTAGGGCGTACGAATCATGGTGCTTAACTCGCGGTGTTTTAGAGCTATTTTGAAGAGAAGAGAGTTTTTGATAAAATTCCAGAAATTCATTTTTCACTTCAATTATTTCAAAATTAAGTATTCTAAATTAGTCACACTTCTAGAGAGTATTAATAATACGTAACTAAAGAAAACTGGAAACGGAGGAGAGTTTGAGCTCATTTTTTTGCGGAAAAAAGTAGGGTCTACCTTATTTTTGGCACAACTCGCTCAATGTTTACGCTAAATTAAAAGAAAAAATTTTTGTTTTAATTTTAAAATATTCTACGAGTTGTCCCAAAAAATACATAGTTATTTGACTGCAACTCTCTAATTTATCTTTTGGCGAAATAAGAGCTCTTGTATTGGTTATACAGTCATCATTTAAAACCGTTTTCTTTGTTTTTTTAAAAGCTACGATTTAGTTCTCCACATTTTTTTTGTCATAAATGCATACTACTTTTTGAGTTTTTCGCGTATAATCAATTAAGAACATTGATTTTTGCTATGAAAAACTCATACTTTGCAACCACCCCCGGAGTGAAAGCGCTCTTTGGCATGATACAGATTTTAAACCTACCTCCTGTCGAAATTTCAAGTCGATTCATTTTTTAAACACTAACCTTCATTTTCTAGAGTCTAGACCATTAGTATATAGAAGTTTAATTATCGCTTAATTTAAGGGAAGTCAATTATCATTTCAAAGTTATGCATTCAGAAGTTTCAAAATTCGCTCAGGGAATAGTATTTACCCATAAGGAAACTCGCGCTCTGGAAAGTTTGATTACGGAAAACCTTCTAACCTCGCAATATTCGTTAAGTGAATTTGTTAAAGATTTTGATATCAGTTCTATTTTTCGACGTTAATTATTTCAGTCTTCAGCGACAATATAAAAATTTAAATACAGTGTGTCCCAGGAGGAATAATTTCAAACAGTTCCAAGAGTGGGCTACTAGTTCAAAAGTTACAGCCCTTTGAATTTTCTTTCGAAATTGGTTTCTAGTCTATAACTTTTGATTGAGAAGTCTGGTCGAAAAAGTACGAATTGTTTTGGATTCTACGCACCAAAATTAATAAGAAAAAGTGTTTTCCCGAGAAATTTTGGTGCAGTTGATTTTTGGTAAAAAAAGGAAGGTTTTAACACTGCCTTTTTTTGAGCCCCGAACAAAAAATTGCCTCAGATCGACCCGGAAAAAAATTTTCTTATAGAATGTGGCCTGTAGAATCCATAATTTCAGACAGTTCCAAGATTGGGCTACTAGTTCAAAAGTTACAGCCCTTTGAATTTTCTTTCGAAATTGGTTTCTAGCCTATAACTTTTGATTGAGAAGTCTGATCGAAAAAGTACGAATTATTTTGGATTCTACGCACCAAAATTAATAAGAAAAAGTGTTTTCCCGAGAAATTTTGGTGCAGTCGATTTTTGGCAGGGTGTGTATATTAGTTGCAATAATCTAAGTTACTTATTAATACAAAGCGGACATGTTAATTTAAACTACTCCCGTATTACAAAAGCATGCATATGAGATGGTTGCCGTTACATACAGTTTTTTTGTATGAGTTAAAACAATATATAGTAAAACTAGCTATACACTTGCAACAATATGTATATGATAAATTTTATAATTCTTCATTGCTATCCCTATACGTATTATATTTTTTGATAGCTATTATTATATTTTTAATTACCTTTAACATACATTTTTCTCCGTGTGTTTATCGCGGGCGAATCTGATGTGTTATCTGCCGTGTGTGTTAGATTTAATGGTGAGTTTTAAGACAACATAACGCATAACGTGTATGTGTACTTGTGTATTAAGTGGCGGCTAGGGAGGGAAAAGGACAGGACAAGGATTTGCTACAGGCCAGTAATGAAACATGGTAAAACATATACTATTTATTAGACGTTAATCCAAGTATAATGTAATTACAAATTTATTATCGGTCTTACACGGAATTTTGACAGATGCATTAAATGGAGGAACAAAGCAGGGAGACTACAAAAACTGCTCGTGCAGCTTGGGGCTCTCAAGTCTCCGTGCTCCGTTTCACAAGAAATTGCGCTATTTTGACACAGTTAAATAACAGGTATACATATAATTTCGAATTTGATAAAATACACATTAATTGAGACAACCATTAAATATTTACAAAAATACAAAATTAAGATGTGCCGCAAAGAGACCTTTTCTACACATTCAAATTTAACACTTAATAAGCGTAATGTATAAATTTTAGATTTATTACTTTTTGGTGACATAACTGAGTTTGCCGCGTTTCCAATTATTTTCGTATAACGCAAATTTTAAATTGGTTTAGATTCTACGTGGGCGATAACCACATGCTCTATATTTATCCATCATATTTCGTAAAACACATAACCTCATAGCCTGCTTTTAAAGCTCGGTGAGGGGTATTTGCACTTAATCGCGAATGAATATAGGTCATTAGGGACATTTCGTTGGATTAAGTTGTAAACTAAGCTCTTCTTCGACGTTTGCATAGAAGCGTGTATTTACCTAACTGAAGTGTCGCATGTATTCAAATTCTGGAAATTAGAATGTATGAAATAACGTTGGCGTTACTACCCTCAAACTATTGTCTATATTTTGGCGTTTGTACCCCAATCAAGGCACTAAAATCGCGTGCTCCGTTTAAATTCATTAACGATTTTGCCACGACTAAATGAAATGGGATAAATTACGTATCAAAATTGTGAGTGCTATACTTCGCTTCAAAATAATAAGAAACAAAAATAAGAATTAAAATTAGGTTCGACCGCAGCAACGTTTATGTTTTATGTTTTGTATTTAGAAACGCTATTATATAAACACAAAGGGAGAACGTTGTTGTGGTAGCATCACCATCCAATGCAATAATTACGTAGAGAGCAACATTTTCTCTATTTTGAAAAGACTAGTACCTTTTATATTTATATATTATTATATATTTATATATTATATTTATATATTATAATGTTTAATAATAGCCCTAGACTCAGCTTTGTTTTTCTACTCTTCAAAAAATAAGGCAACGCGCGTCCTTAATTCGAATGGAAACAATTCGCTTTCCTTAGACAAAAGCAATGAGGAAATGAGAGTCAAACTTAGGGGAGTTTGGAAATAAATATTCATACATTTGTTTGATTCTTCATCAACACACAACAACCCCTAAATATCGTCAAAAGAATTGCAAATGTCATTCTCAATTTCAATTGCAATAATTTTTAAACCTTAGGCAAAAGTAATGAGAGGATTGTGGTGTAATTTAGGGGTAGCTGGGAAGTAAATATTTATGTATTTATTTGATTCTTAATCAACATATATCAAGCCATTAATATAAATTACAACTTTCAAAAAACCTTTCCAATTCCTTTCCAATGGGAGCAACAAGTTAAACGTGATAACCGCGACCGACGAAAGCGCATTTTCCCCCGCACATAATCAGTAATAAGTCGGGAAGGAAGTGACCAATCCAAATAAACTTTTGCCATTCTGGTCTCTGGGCTATACTACAACGTATAAGACAGAAACCACAACGAAAAAGCTTAAACTGGAGGACTAGTAGTGGTACAGTGGACAGTGGTGGTGGGCCTAGTTATTGTCAAATAATAAAAGGTTTTTTAAATGACAGTTTTTATGAATACTTTTGCAAATTTTCTCCTCATTTTTCTCACTTACATTAAATCTAGATTAGCATAATATAGTATAATCGTAGATAATAACCACAAAGAGAAGATTTCTAGTAATTTTATTGTAACTTCCGCTTAACACTCGATTTTTAGTTTTGTTTGGGTTATGGTCATCACAATCACGCATACGGTACCTAATTAAATTTGCTACAACTTCATCTCCAATTAATTTCCGTAGATTGGTACCACATTATACCTCATATTTTGGTGGAAAATTTGACATTTCTCAATTTTCAACTTCTTGGGAAGCTATTAGACCTAGAAAATTGGATTAGGGCCCAGACTGTCAAGAATTTTGTTCACTTTAAAAAGTAATAATGAATGGCCTTTCGTGGTTTGCACAAAACTGAAAAGCGTTTTGTTGTGGTTTGTTGGAGGTTCGAGGCTTTGTTTTTAACGACCACAAGAGCTCCAGTGTTTTCTACGATAACATAGAACGGACAAGGTAGTTCAAAATATGTAATCCCGCGAGATATAAGTCGGGATTATACTTAATCCCGAGATATAATTAATCCCGAGAAATAAGTCGGGATTATACGTAATCTCGAGATGTAAGTGAGGTTTATACTTAATCCCAAGATATAAGGCGGGATTATACGTAATCTCGAGATGTAAGTGAGGATTATGCTTAATCCCAAGAAATAAGTCAGGATTATACTTAATCGCGAGATATAAGTCGGGATTATACGTAATCTCGAGATGTAAGTGAGGATTATACTTAATCCCGAGATATAAGTCGGGATTATACGTAATCTTGAGATGTAAGTGACGATTATGCTTAAATCTCGGAATTAAGTATAATCCTCACTTACATCTTGGGATTAAGTATAATCCCGACTTATATCTCGGGATTACGTAGGTATAATCCCGACTTATATCTCGGGATTACATAATTTGAACTACCTTGTCCGTTCTACGCTTTCGTAGTTTTCAGTTTTGTTTAAAAAAACGTTTGATTCTAAAAATGCATAAATAGCGGCAGCTCTCCTACGAAGCCGTAAAATGAGCGTGTTTAATAAAACTCGAATCGCAATTTCAGCGTTGACATCGCGTTTTCTTTCCGTCTCCAACGTGTAATCTTTTTATAATGAAATAAGTTTTAAAAAAAAAAAGTAAAATAAACTGCTTCCTTCTATTTAATTAAGAGGCGAGCGTAAGTTCCCCCTTTTTTTTGTACTAATTAATGAAAAGTTGCTGAATTCTTTATCGTGTACAGTGCATAAAGGGAATTTATTTAAGTGGGTATTTACGGTAAAGGCTGAGAGCTTCCGTAGCACTTTGTTCTTGTATGCCATTAAGTTATTGAGGTAACGGTAGGATAAACATTACGTCAGTCCTTATTAAGTGGGTTTAATCGCTCTCCGTTTTGTTTCAGGAAGGAAGTGATGTCTACGACTTAGGAAACTTGCGAAAAACTGTCACGTGCTTTCGTTGTTGGGCTAATTGAAGGTTTAAAGTGTTAAAACTGTTACAAAGCTATCGCAGTCGATGGAAGAAAACTAGAAAATTGAAAACGCACAATTTTTTCAAAGTTTTGTTTGGTGTGAGTTAACTACAATTATTGAATGGAGGTGTAGTTTCCCTCCTGGAAGGGAGAGAGATACTCGAGGAGATACTTCAAGTTGACCGAACTTGCTTCCCGGTAAAACCAGTGAGGAATGGGTTAGATCCCACTCTAGAAGAGACTAGCATGATTAAAAAATATTAATAAAGATCTTTATGAATTAAACTCATTGTTGAAAAGAGCAATCAGTTCCTCTTCCCTTTGGAAGCCATGCATCGTATCGTAAAAGCGTTTTGTTTCTCTCTTGATCGCTAACTCCTTTATTCTTATATTTGAACAAAAAGCTCGCGCTACGAAAGCTTTGTTCGTAATCGCGTGCTATTAAGAAGGTCTATTTTCAGGGCACTACTCCCGAGTAGCTATTGAATATACGTAAAGAACGTACTCGTCGCTCTTATAGAGAATATCGGATTAAACACTGAAAAAGAATCCCCTATTGAAACTTGGGCATCTGTCAGCAGCGTAAAACGCATACCTTATGCGGCGTTTTAGATTATCTCTTTTTAAATAGGGAAAAGTGGCACTAAATAGCGTGTTGTTAGTTACCATCATAAAACTGTACTCAAAACCGTGCGTGCTCCTAATGATAAGAGAAACTTGTAAGGTGCGTGTGCCTAAGAAGTCCACAGATGACAAAGAATGAGCGCGATTTTCGTATTGACGGGCGTTTAGGAAATTCATACATTTTAAGGAATAAGTCCATGGCATGAAGTTTTGAAGTTATAAGAATTAAGTTCTTACTTATGAACCCACCATCAGCCACGGTCTCCAGTTGAATGAGACCCATGGTTTGGTGCAAGAAACGCCTTGATTGAAGGCTGGTTGAGTGTAATTTCCGTTTGACATTTTGGGAGACTCTCAATGATATACTTTCTCCAAAAGCTTCGTATATTAAGATTTCTGAGAAAATAATACCCATTCGTTCTTTCTGCCCTAAAGCCTATACGAATACATACAACTATTCAATTAAAATTAGGATTAAATTTATGTTAAGTTCTTTTTTAATTTAAAATTCAGTGAGACCGAAAAATGGCTCGTTTCCTTAGAAATTCTAAACACGGGAAGTTTAATTTTCTAAAATGAAACGCAATGAATCGGAGCAATTATCGAATCGGAAGTAGGTACTACTTTTACTAAGCGATATACGATTTTTTCCCAGTCTGTGAATGAGGAGAATGTTTTAATCCTTAATTGCGGTTACAAATACATTTCCAAAGATAGAGCATTAGTGTGGAAGTTGCGCAAATATTCTCCTCACGATCGGCCTAGCCTGGCCTGAACAATAAAATGACTTTATTTGTCATTCAAAATGGACTGAGGTAAGTATCAGTTATGTCACCACAGTTAATTTTTGTTTTATCACACATTTTATTCACACTTACTTTTTTAAGTCTAATTCTACGTTGAGCCTCGCCACTTTTAGCAGTTGAACGAAATCTGAAATTAAAAAGCATAATTAGCACCCCATTTACAAATCTTTTATTAGTATAAGTTAAATTCACTGGGCATTTAATTCTTGTAAAGTGTACGTACCAATTTTTCGAATATGGTTCAAGGTTATTCATCCAAAATTTATAGATTGTTTGATTTTTTCAGTTCCACGCCGTCATGTAATTGCTTGAGCTGTTGAAGAAGTGGAAAAAGCATGTAATGAGCCACCATTAGCCCTCAATTTGAACCATATCACATATAGATCCTGCTCTAAAGAACACTGTAGTCGGATAAAGAAAATTCGAGATAAGAGAGATAAAGCAAAATACGAAACCAGTTGGAAATAGGAAGTAAATTCTCACTTAAACAATTGCTTAAAGATGATTATAATAGATACAATCAGATTCGTCTTCACCTATTCTCATAGTTCCAAAAAAATTCAGGTAATAACAAAAATAAGAAATATAGGATCCATAAGTAGAATTAGATGAATCTAGTAAAAGATGTGCAGCATATGCAACGTCCCAAGGCTAGTTTCCAATAACAATCATCAGATTTAAATTATAAATTACGTTTAATTTATTTGAATGACATTGTTGTATTTGGAAATAACATACAAATGTAACTAAAGTTAATTAAAGTGTTACAAAGATTAAAAGCAGTCAAGTTAAAATTAAATCCGATGAAATGTCAATTTTCAAAAAAAAAGAAACGTTCTTTGGGAAAGAATTTCATCAGATCCTGCAAAAATTAGTGCGATTAAAGATTTCCCAGTTCCAAAAATTTACATATAACAAAGCGAAATTCTGACAGTGACAGGGAATAATATAAGGATCAAAATCTGTATCATGCCAAAAGGCGTTTTCACCCTGAAAAGGTTGCCACGCCATCCCGAGGGGGGTTCCTTGTAATTTAAAAAAACCATTTTAACATAAAATCCCCTAATTACCACCCTAATTAAAATTAGTCCTCCCCCTTTTCCAATTTTTTCTAATTCATTCTAAAAGTGCGACTAGTTTAGAATACTTGATTTTGAAATAATTGGAGCTAAAAGTGAAAAACGAATTTCTGTAATTTTTTGAAAAACGCCCTCCTCTTCAAAATAACAACTGAAGATTTTACTAAAGGCAAATCGAACGATTTGATTATATTAGACGTGTGAAAAACTCCACGCTCACGTATGCGTATAAGAAAAATTTCTTATTTCTGGACAGGTCTTACTAAAATTTTAACAGTAGCAGCTCTTGGTAAAGGTTTTGTGAAAAACTACGCACGTGCGTTTATTACATTAATATATTAAACATGGTAAAAGCTACGGTGCGCGTAGATTTGTTATTTGTGGACTAATTTTTCTGAAATTTTAACAGTGTGTACATCTCATAAAAGCAATTTGAACATCTATGTCAAAAATTGCCACACCGATTAGGTACTTCGCTCAATAGAAGCCGAAGCGATACATGAGAAGTAAATACAATAAAAGGAAAGTGCTGGGTCTCAGCAGATTTTAACTTTGTATTCATTAAGGTGAATATGAATATTTCCTTTCGATATAATATCATGAGAAAGTTTCAGAGTTAAATTATTATTAGAAGTCTGAATGCTTTTAGGTAACGTATGTACATCCCTTCCATAAACCTATAGAGGATATAAAGCATATTACAGGGCGATTCAAAAAGAACCACCACTTTGAAAACCTGTATTTTAATTTAATTAAAGTAGCAAAATAGAACCATGGGTTATAAATAAAAATGAAGAATATTAAAATCAGTTTTTTTTCACTAGAAAATAAGTTCGCAGATGTTCAATATGACCCCCTCCAGACACTCGAGCGAAATGCAAACTTAACAACTGTCGTCAATAATAAATTATTAATTTTGTGAAGGGAAGTAATTTATTTCTTTTATTAAATCACAATAGTGGTTGATTTTTAAGGGTTGAAATATTCTGAAATAGTGTGCCGAAGCCTCTAACACTCAACTCATATGAAAATAAATTTTACTCATATTAAGCTTTAATATATAGTTTTATAGGTTTTCGAAAAAGAGGGTAGTTTTCACTCCTAAAAAATTAAGAGCGCCCATCGGCATAATTATAGATTCTAAGATAGAGGGCTTAATTCAACTTTTTTTTATCTCAATCGATCTATTTTGAAAAAATTGACAGGTTTAATACTAGTAGCTAAGGCAATTTTTAATAGGTGATTTTATTTTGAGATTTGGGATTCCGCATGAAATCACCTTTTGGTGCTTCGCGTCTAATAATACACCGAAACTAAATATGCTATACTTACAAGCTGGATAAAATATACAACGAATTTGTTAGGAAATAGCTATTTCCATAAATAAATCGCTGTAACTTTGAATCCATTTTATTTTTCTTTTCGAACGTAGGAAGATCGAAGATGTAATGGTAATGGCTAATGGGTATAGGTATACACCACTGACCAAAAATGGAAGAGGCGTGTAAAATACGCAATAAATACGTTTCTTGTGTAATAAAATATCACTCTATCATCAGCACTTAAATTTAACCCCTTCATACAAGTTTTTAAATAGTGCTGGAGCTCCAACGTTTAGTTAAAAAAGATGTGCCGGCTATGCTAGTACCTCCTGTAATAAAGATAAACAGAATACTTTTATACCCAAACAGGAAAGCAAGTGTTTCTCTGGTCCTTCGGCGTATTTTTTATGTCTTAAGTCATAACATTAATTTAGTTTGTGTCACGGAAGAATAGAACGCTTATTTATGTTGCGAAACACATAACCGCTGATAGAAAACGAAAATGTGGAAATTTTGTTAGAAAACTACAGATTTGGTTTCAGCACAAAAAATCCCGTTTTAGTACAAATTGGTAGTATTAAAATCAAGTTAAGGCATAGTTCGCAAAATACTGCAACCAATATTTTTTTCTTTCTCGCGTTTTGCTGAATTAAAATTCGCACATCACGATAGACTCCTTTTTTCACTATGGTAATGGCTCTCTCTTTCTATTGTAGATAATACGTTAAAACGCAATTTGTCTTTAATTTTTAATACGTACAAGCAATTGATTTAATTTACTATGCCGGAAAACTTAGGGTGAGGTCATAATCTAGACCTGAGGGCATTGTGCTCCCCTGCAATGTTATTACAGAGCAACTGGGTGCAAAGCGACCTCGCTTCGGAAATCTTTTGGGGTTGGAATAATAAAATAATACAAGAATTGGCATAATTCTCGTATTTGTAACCTGTAAATTGCAAATCGGCAACTCACCCAACCAAGATTGTGTGTAATTGTTGAATCGTTCCAGTTTTTACAAAAAAATTATTATTTCCTAGTCCTACTCTATTTTCTAATTTAAAGTAATTTTTGGGCAGCCGTTGCTATTAAACAGTTCGTTCAAAATATCTATTGCCGGTGAAGGATTTTTTTAAACCGTAACCGAAAGAGTACAAAAACTGATTATTTTTCATTCCAAGTTACACGAGTTTCGATGTAATTATGTATCTCAGTGGCTTGCAACATAGGGTTTTTAGGGATTTCAACGTTTTTCTAATCATTTTAAGATCGAGCTAAAACACCATACGCAAATTTAGGAAAAAAACCCTTCTCCTCGCCTGTACCTTACCGCATGCAGAAACATATGCGTGATAATTAAACGAATCACACTTATTTACAATCACTATCCCTAAATAAATGTTGTAGTACCAATTTGAGCACTTTCCTGAAGGCATTATTGAAATTTAAAAAATAGTTTCATTTAAAATTGCATGTTTGACATGAAAAATGCACTCACCGTTTCCTTTGAGGTTTTACTTCTACTGTACCTTTACCAACATCTTAGGGTCACCAAGATTTCACATTTAAAAAACCACCCTCCCATACACTCGTATATCACGCACGTTTCGCGGCGAAAATTCGACTACTACTATGATATGATAATCGTCTTTCGACATTGTGAGTGAATCACTTTATACCTGTTAACCTTCATTGAACATACGTGGTCGAAATCGGTTTTGTATCTACCGGATTGTAGATTACAAATTATCAAAATTGAAAAGTAAACTTCTATCCATTGTTACTGGCCCATTAACCTTACCTCTCGCAAATCGAATGGAAAATGATGTGTTCTTAAATTCTTTGCGCGCAGTATTTTTCTCACAATCAAAACGCTCGTCCCCAAAATACTTTCCTAGGTAAATTTCAGAAATGCGACGAATGGGAATCAAATTACTTCAACGGGAATTTTTTTATAACTTGAGCTTCATGAGCAATTTTTGAGAGGAAGCTTGTCTGATTTTTCATTTATACAGGGTGAATTTTTCCCAATGTTAAGAATGGGGATGTGTATTAGTGGACAATCACGTAGAGAGCAAGTTTATACGGCCTGTGCGGACCGGATTAAGTGCGTACCCTCTTTTTTTCCCAAATGATTTATTTTGCAAATTATCAATTCTAAAGTTCTCTTCTACTTTGGAAATCGCTTCTGAAATTGTTTATGCGTACAATCCATCTGCAAGTCAAGTTGAGGTAGTTGGGTGAAAATAATAACGAAGTCGTTTTTAACATTTCGCTTCAAATACTCAAGTCTTTCGGGCAAAATTCTACTTTCGAGGCTGATTTGAGGCTACCTCCCAAAGTCCTACAATTTACGTTTCTTGTTTCATTACCAATAAGCACCATATAAAAAAATGTAACGGCGTTACCTAGGGCTTTCTGCTACAGATTTTGTAAAAATTCAGAATTCCTCGCACAAGAATTGTAAATGCAAAAGAATTCTGCTCCCAAGAAATTGGGTCTAGAGGCCTTTGGAAAAAGAAAAAATCCAATTAAATTCTTAGCGCAATACGTCAGATCACGAATTTGCCGTGTACACTCTTTATCTACTTATAAACAAAGTTATTGAGCAGATACAACACTTAAAATTGCATGAAAAAATCATTATTTTCATGTTCAAGGTACGAAGGTGCGGGGAGCGACGAATAGATTGACGAACTTAACGTATCAGATTCTTTTGTTTCATTTT